CGCCCTCGCCGGAATTGCCGGTGGTGGTGGCGGAATCGTGAGTACGACGCGACGTCCATCCTCCCCTCGCGCCTCGCCGACGTCCGCTCTCGGCGCCCTCGCCAGCAGCGCTCGAGCGAGCCGCCGGCTGACGCCGTTCCCGCTGCCGCTCCAGCTCCCGCTGCCCCAGCTCCCGCCCCTGCTCCGGCTCCGCCGCCGTTGGCCACGCCCGCATTCCCCGAGCGCATGAACAAGCGGCCTCGCCGCGTCCGGCAGCCCAGCGGCGCCTCATTCGCGCCGGCGCCCGACGCCAGCTCCAACCGGAGGCATGGCGTGGTGAGGAGCGGTGGGCGGCTGGCGCCGGTGCACACGCTGCCGCTCACGCCTGCCGCAGACGAGCCGGCCTTTCGCTCCGCGTCCACGGTGCAGCCGCTGGCAGGCCTCGAGTACGGACCGACGCCCTTCAGCTGCCCAGTCGACACGCTGCTCACGGTCCGCCCTTGCGCCATCGCAGCGAGATACGGCCGAGATTGCGGCAGAGATGCGAGATCAACCTGCGCCGCCTGCTCTGCTTGCCCGCTCTCCCCGGCCTACTCCCCCGCCCCGGGCCTCAGGCGTACGCCGTCGCCGCTGTCGTGTACAACGACGGCGCGCACTGGTGGGCCGACCTGCTCAGCCGCAGGCACTTCACCAAGCGGTCGCGCAGCACGGGCTCCTACCGGTACGATGGGCTCGAGAGCGGCGGCCAGCTGCGCTACGCCGGCCGCGGACCCTCGCCCACCCTCACCTCGGAGCCACGGCACGTGTCCTTGGTCTGGTACCGTGCCGTGCCCGACGAGTGATGAGCGCCGCAGGCGGCAGCGCTCCGGCCTCCGCCCTCGGTCGGGCGGTTCAAGCTCTCTCGGAGGGACCGACTCTCGCAAACGTGAGTCAAACTCATATCCGAAGACACGAGTATTAACACACGCGTAATTTGCTTCTTTTGGTTTTTGCACGGTGTGTTACACACGGAAATTTTGGTGAGACGCTCTCTATGTCTCACGCGTCACACGGGGGTGTTTCGTCCCTCGTCCCTCGAGCTGTCTCACTTGCATGTTTGCTGCAAGATTTTTTCCGTCTCTCTGCGTCTCTCTGCTGTCACAGTGCTGAGTGTCAGTGTCGCAGGTGCTGAGCCACAATGAGACGTGGCGCAGGGCGGGGTTTGAGACGCCACAAGCCGCTGCTTGATTGAGTGCAGTCGTCTCTCAGGTCCGTTAGAGACCATGCTGAGCCAACCTAAGACGTAATTGTGAGACAGTGGCGATCAAAACTCAGCTGTGTCTGAGGTGCGGCCTGGCGGGTCTCGGTGAGTGTAGACGAATCCCAAGCACAATCGCGCTCTCTGGCTTAAACGGTTGCTCTTGCGCAGAGGGAAGGCGTCCTGGGGGATGCAAAGCCGGTGGTGAGCGGTGGTGACTACGGTGGCCGCGGCGTGGGTGACGGTGGTGGCGCGTGGGTGGCGATGGCGCGAGAGAGAGTCGCCGGGCCGCCATCCTCGCCGCTGCCACACTAGCCGTCGCCACCCCCGCGCCGCCGCCCTCGCCGCCGCCGTCACCACCGCCTTGCTTGCCCCCGTCGCCCTCGCCGACTAATTGATTGCCACCCACGCCACGCCACCCGCCGCATGGTTTTTCTCTAAAGCCCTCAATACAACTACCACGAAGGGAACGGCAAAACGATGAAAATGCGATGAGTTCATGAGTGTTGACACCAAGTTGCTCCTCGGTATCGTGCTGGCCGCGCTTGTCCTCGAGGTACCGAATAGACTGTCTGCCTCACCGCCGCCTTGCGTCACGACACCGTTCATTCACTCTGGCCGCCCAGGCCGCCGCGGACCGGTCAGCGCCGCTCCCTGACCGACGAACGCGCACAGCGGATCCGGCATCTGGCCCACCACCTCCCTCGCCCCGCGGTGGCCAGACCCTCTTCCACCCCTTTGCAATCGCGCTTGTTACGCCTGATCGCATCATCGATTCATTATCTTACGTCCGTCCCGCCGCGCGGCCTGACTCCTCATCACCTCAATGTCAACATACGTAGATAGGAAGGCGAAACACAGTCCGACCAATGACTGGGACACCAGCGCGGTATGGGTGGACGCAAGACGGGCGGTGACGGTCACACAGCCATTCTGGCGCCTGTCCCTGTGTAGGTGAGTGGCACCTCCTGCGACGGCCATTGCCCCGGAAAGACGCAGCTTTGGTCAAAAAAGTGCAGCTGGGACGGCTGCTCCGGCTGCTCCGAGTGCCTTGCCTCTCCGCCGCCCGCTGGGGCAGGCACCTGTGCAAAATTCTGCCCCGGCAAGCCGCAGCCGTGGCCAAACAAGTGCGCTTGGGACGGGTGTAGCGGCTGCGCCGAGTGCTCGGCTGGGGCTTCTGGCCTCTGCCTGGACCGCGGTGAGTGCGAGGGCTTTTGCACCTCCAAGACGCAGGTATGGGCAGGAGACGGTAAGTGCACCTGGAGCGGCTGCGGTGGATGCGCGCCGTGCTGCCCGGGCTACGTCCCCGTGTCAGCGCCCTCGCCCTCGCCCTCGCCGCGACCGCCGGCCACGTGCAAGGGGCACTGCGAAAGCAGGACCAATCCCTGGGACGAGCTTTGCTCCTGGACCGGCTGCGGCGCCTGCGCCGAATGTCCGTCGCCGCCGTCCCCTCCTACTCGCCCACCGATCGTGGACGACTCGTACAATCCAACCAGGCCGGCTACGCGCCAGCTCGGCCCATGCCTCCAGGCGGCGGCGCTGGACGCTAACTTCCCGGGCGGGTCGCGCTGGAGCTCAGACCGTTCGGCGCGCAACGCGCGGTTCGAGCCGTCGCCCGCGGCGGTCGTCTTCGCCACCTCGAGCGCGCATGTGCTCGCCGCAGTCACGTGTGCCAAATCGGCCGGCGTGGCCGTCTGCGGCCGTTCGCTCGGCAGGCACACGTGCGAACCGTACTGCGGCGGAGGCCTCATCGTCGACGTCAGCGCGATGCGGCAAATGTCGGTGTCGCCAGCGACCAAGACTGCTGCGATCGGGGCGGGCGCCACACTCGGGCAGGTGTATGTGCACCTGGACGGCTACGAGCTCGCACTGCCCGGCGGCACGTGCGGCACGGTGGGGATCGCGGGGCTCGTCCTCGGCGGCGGCAAGGGGCGGATGACGCGGCTGCACGGGCTGACTTCCGACCTGCTGTTGGCAGTCGAGCTCGTCACGCCCTCTGGCGAGCGAGTCACGGCAAACGCCTCGCACCACGCCGACCTCTTCTGGTTGGCGCGCGGCGGCGGCGGCGGCCAGTTCCCAGGCGTGGCGACCGCGTTCCACTTTCGGCTGGTCGATCGGCCGTCGTTCGTGACGTCGTTCACGTACCGGTATGCCGTGAGCGCCGCGGTGTTCGCGCACTGGCAGTCGCACCTGCTCGAGCACAGTGAGCGACGACTGCACGTACGGCTGCAGTACGACCAGTGGAACGGACTGAGCTTCTACGGCACCGCGTTCGAGATGGGGCGCACGGAGGTGGAGGCGCTGATGGCGCCGACGCGCGCGGCGCTCGGTTGGGGCAACGCGTCGTACACGACGCGCTCATGGCTGCAGGACCTGATGGCCAACACGGGCGTCAACTCGGCAGCGCAGCTCACGTCGGGCAGCCACGGCTGGGGCTCCGAGTGGAGCGTGGCCGAGAAGAAGCGCAGCCTCGTCTTCACGCCGCTCGACGCCTTCGGCCTCGCCAAGCTCACGAGCGAGGTCAGCGGTGCGCCTTCGACGGGGTTCTATTTGCAACTTGACCCCACAAGCGGCGCCGTCTGCGACCTGCAGCCCGGTGCGACAGCGTACGCGTGGCGCGAAAAGTCGGCGGACGGGCGATGCGAGCACATCACGATGGGAATCACCAACAGGTGGTCGGGCAGGGGCGGTAACACGCGCATGGAGGCCCACTCGCGCCGATTCCACGCGGCGCTCGCAGCGCACGCCGGCGTGCGTGCATACGTCAACTACATCGACCTCGACCACGCAACCAACGCCGGCGCCAGCGGCCCGCTGGGCAACGCTTACTTTGGCGCGGCGAACGCGCAGCGCATCGCCGATGTGATCGCGAGGTACGACGACACTGGCACCTTTCGGGCGGCGGATGCGATCTCGCTTCCCCCCGCCGTGCTCTTGCCCGCGCCACCCGCCTCGCCAGCTCCACCGCGTCCGCCACCACCGCCGCCACTGGGGCGCGCCCGGTCCTCGACGGAGCCGCGCGCCCCGAGCGACCCAGGCGGCGAGTGGTCGTCCTGAACCTCCTTCACGTAGTTGCCCGTGGACTGGTTAGCGCCCGCCCGCCCCCCGCCGTCGCCTGCAATGCAGAGGGAAGGGAGGAGGTATTTCCCCTGAGGCTCTCAGAGAGGCTGAAACAGGAAAGGCACAACAAATAAAATAAAACGGACACGCACCCCAAGCCGCGAAGGGTGGGAGAAGGACAGGGTCGCGGCCCCCCTGCACGAGCAGGATTTTGTGAGCTGATGGTCGCCGCCCGCGCTCGCCGTTGTGCTCCAATTGCTGCGGGCGGGCGCGCGGATTTGAAGTTATGGTCAGACGCTCCGTCAGAGCGTGCCTCGGACGGGCTGGTGAGCCCGTTGTGTGCGCGTCGTGCGTCCCGGCGTCCCCGCCGATTCGCTCTCCCAGGCTCCCAACGGTTGGAAGTCCACAGGCGGTGCCGCAGTCCACATCGTGGTCGCTGCCCCCCACCCTGGAAGGTCATCATGTTCGAGCGTTCCCTTGAGATCTGACTCGAGCCGGTCCAGGATGTCAAACCCGCGCCGGTTAGTTTTGCATTCCGCCCCGACGTCTCCCGTCGTTGCGCGCTCCCCAGGCTTCCCCCTCAGGGAAGTCTTCAAGCGGAGGCTCGGCCCCTGACGTGGCCGCTGCTCTCCCCTCTGGAGGATCACTCGCCCTCCTCGAACCCAGCTCGTGCGAGTTCGCTGTATAGGTGTGGTTTTGCTCATACTCGTACTCGACGGACCCACGCGACACTCGCGCGGGCCGGCTGCAGGACTCTCCCACAACCACGCTGCACCCAGACCGCGCCTGTGTCGAGTCCGAGCCTGACTGTTCATCACACCTCAGATGGGGGCAGCCCGGCGTACTGGTGCGGGTCGCCCTTTGCTGCGTTACGCACTTTTACAAGTGGAAAATACCCTGCGACCGCCTGGGTATCGTGCCGATTTCCTCACTTTTGCCTCAGATTTTGCCCCAGAACAGCTCTCAGACTCAGGGAAACTCGAACTCGCGAGTTTCCAGAATGGAGCACCAAACACCCTGGAAATTTCCGGAAACGCAAAGTGCTGGGGACCCCCTGTTTTCCTTTTTGTTTGCCGGAAAAGCTTGTGCAGGCCAACAATCCGGGAGGGACGCAGGGACGTCCGAGGTCGCCATGCGCGACTTCGACCTCGGTTTTTGGATCCGAAAGATGTTTTGGAATGCTCTCAATGGCCCCGTTGCGGCCGTGCATGCCCACGTGGCCGCACTAAGAAGCGCAGCGGAGTATTTTTCTTCGACGCTGAACGCGGACAGAGACAGTGAGGGCGCGATAGCAAGGCCAGGATGACGAGCGTGGAGGCCGTGACGAGCGCGCTCGAGAAGCTCGGCATCAAGCCGAGCGCCATGGTGGAGCACGACGCGGCGATGACGGTGCGCGTCATGCGCTGTCGCGCTCCTGCATCGCGATACGACACACCATGTATTTCTCCTCCGCACCCTCCGCACAAAGCCTGAGGCGGTGGCCTGCCGCCCGCGTTCAGGTCGAGGCCGGGCTGCAGGCAATCGAGGGCAAGTGCCCGGGCGTCTTTGTCAAGAACCTCGTCGTGCGCGACAAGAAGGCGGGTCTCTTCCTCCTCTCCGTCCGGCACGACGCAAAGGTTGACATGAAGGCGCTGCCGCAGCTGCTCGGCGTCTCGGGCGGCAACTTCCGCATGGCCGACTCGGCTCTGATGACCGAAAAGCTTGGCGTCGCCCAGGCAGTCGCACTCGCCAACCCGCACCCGCGCCTCCCATCACGGCCGCCACCGCCCACCGCCGCAGCCCTGTCCCGGCTGCCGCCACGGCCGCCGCCATCGCCGACACGAATCGACCCGTCCGCCCGTCGGGTGTCACGGTGTGACGCCCGCTGCCTCTTCGCCCCCAGGGCTCCGTCACGCCGCTCGCCGTGATGAACGACACCGAGGGCGAGCTGCTTCTCCCCTCTCCCTCCCCTCTCCCTCCCCTCTCCCTCTCTTGCCCTCTCCCTCCCTCTCCCTCCCCCTTCCTTCCCTTTTTCCTCCCCTTTTCTGGCCCTTTTCCTTCCTTTTCCCTTCCCCTTCCCTTTCCCTTTTTCCTTCCCCTTTTTCGGGGCCTTTTCCCTTCCTTTTTCTTCCCCCCTTCCCTTTTTTCTT